TGGAGAAAGATGGCTGCCTCCCAGGCAGTAAAGATGGTGATTTGAATCCAGTGCTAGTCATACTCAGAGTAAACCCACGGAAGTTAACGGATATGTCTAAGTGAGGCTTATCAATTCCAATGGGAATTGATACTCTTGAGTAGAACTTGAGTAGAACTTGGGAAGATACTCTTGAGTAGAACTTGGGAATACTCTTGAGTAGAACTTAAGTCAGATATAACCCAGTGGTGGAATTCAATGTCACATTAATAGGTCATGCATTTCCACTTGCCAGTTGGAATGACCACCCCACCCCCCACTTTCCCCCTGTGTGAAGTTCTGGGGGTTCTCTCAACCCTCCAGAACAGATTTGGTGGGGCAGATGTGCACGGGGGCGGGGAGGAGAGAAGCCTCGTGACACAAGTGGGAGTCCTTGCACTGGCTTCCACTAGCACACATATGTTTGCGTGTCTGCATGTGTGCAGAATGCTGACTGTCTCTTTTTGGGGAGTGGGGAGACAAAGGAAACAGGGGCATGGAGGGGGTAGGAATGGGATATAGTGTCTGGAATCCTGAACAGGGACTGCTCTACACTGCAGCATTTTGTTGCAGGTCCTCCCTCTCGTCTCTTCTATTGCTATTTCCGAGCTCTCGGGGCTGTAACTAGAATACAGCCTCCCGTACAGAACTCCTTCTGATTACTTCTGTGCCACAGGCAGAGTTTTTGTCTTTGCCATCATTATACTGCTGTGAGACCCATTCCTGTAGAGGTGATTCTTGAAAAGCAATATTCAGGGCGATTGCCTTTCGATGCCTGCTGAGCAACCGGGCCTCTAATTTTAATCTTTCTTTTTCCACAAGAACAGCCTCTAATGGACATGGGGAAAAGCTAGTCAGGTTCATGCTGATGTTTCTCTAAAACCTGAGATGTGGCTCTTTAAGATGATGGCTGGGCTGGGTTTGTTAGGTGAATCTGAGTGCATATAGATGCACTTGTCTAGTGGAGCCAGGGCAATTCCCCCACCACTTGCTCCCACTTGCTTTAGCTACTGTCATCACCATCATTCCTGGCAAGGTGACCCTTTAGATATCGGCAGAAAGCAGTAAATGCATCACCCAAAGAAGGCTCAGATATGCATTCAAATGGCATGTGCTGATTTACGTGTATAGACACAGACTTAGGGCTTCTTCAGACTTCCTCTTCTTCTGCTGCTTCCCCCCAGGGAAAACTCTCTTTAGTGGTTTTCTCTCTTTCAGGTTTTCTCTGGATTGGTGTTTGCTCTGATTTAGAGCTAAAGGGCATGCTTTCCCTAGGAAAGGAGTGCGGCAAGTGGAAAACCTATCAGCCCTGTGTTTTCTAGGCACAGGGCAAGTGGAATTGTGAACAGGCCCTTAATCACATGAATATGCACACTTAGCACAAACTCAACATCAAAAAAACTAAGATCATGGCCACTGGTCCCATCACCTCCTGGCAAATAGAAGGGGAAGAAATGGAGGCAGTGAGAGATTTTACTTTCTTGGGCTCCATGATCACTGCAGATGGTGACAGCAGTCACGAAATTAAAAGACGCCTGCTTCTTGGGAGAAAAGCAATGACAAACCTAGACAGCATCTTAAAAAGCAGAGACATCACCTTGCCGACAAAGGTCCATATAGTTAAAGCTATGGTTTTCCCAGTAGTGTTGTATGGAAGTGAGAGCTGGACCATAAAGAAGGCTGATTGCTGAAGAATTGATGCTTTTGAATTATGGTGCTGGAGGAGACTCTTGAGAGTCCCATGGACTGCAAGAAGATCATACCTATCCATTCTGAAGGAAATCAGCCCTGAGTGCTCACTGGAAGGACAGATCCTGAAGATGAGGCTCCAATACTTTGGCTACCTCATGAGAAGAGAAGACTCCCTGGAAAAGACCCTGATGTTGGGAAAGATGGAGGTCACAAGGAGAAGGGGACGACAGAGGATGAGATGGTTGGACAGTGTTCTCGAAGCTACCAGCATGAGTTTGACCAAACTGCGGGAGGCAGTGGAAGACAGGAGTGCCTGGTGTGCTCTGGTCCATGGGGTCACAAAGAGTCAGACACGACTAAACGACTAAACAACAAGCACAAACATACAAATACAAATCTAGGCTAAAATCCAACATAGTTATAAGTCTCATGTTCCATCAAAGGAATGGTGTTTTCCTTGCACATTGGAACATTTCCCCCCCTCTCCTCACTCCATGTGCCCCCTAAATATGTTCTAGGGATTACCCAACCCTCTGGAACAGATTTTGGGAGGGGACAGTGGCACACAGGGGAAGGAGAGGGGAAATCCTGTTGTGCAAGCATAAATCCTTGCACTGAGAAGAATTGGTAGTTGACTACTGCCCATAGATGGCATTACAACAGTATTAGTATAAATTACATTTCTATACTGCCCTTCATCTGAGGATCACAGGGAGGTTTAAAAAATAAAAACACACAAAAAAAACCATAGTAACCAACAAAAACAACATCCCTTCCCAGTTTAAAAGGCCATAAGTTGTTTAATTAGCCAAATGCCTGGGGAAAGAGGAAAAAAAATTCCCATATTTTTGGCATCTAAAAATATGTAATGAAGGTGCCAGGTGAACCACTTCGGGGAGAGCATTCCAGAAATATGAACCACCACAGAAAAGGCCCAGTCTCATGCTGCCACCTGCCGGACTTCTTCCAGAGGAGGCACACAAAGAAGGCCTCAGGTGTTGGTTGTAGGGTTCAGGTCGGTTCCTATGGGGACAGGCTCCAGGATGATTCAGATTTATTTCATTTTTGTATGATAATTTAGCTTGCCCCTTGACCTGGTTGCTTAACCCTGACTGATGGCCCCTGAGGAACTACAATTTGAGATAATGCATTGAGTGCCTCATATAATGGGGGGGGGTGTAAATCTTGCATTGGAATTCCACCCTGGCATTTGGTGCAGCCTTTGTGGGACTGTACCACTTCCTAACTCAAGAGGCAGTACACAAGTTTCAATGCTCTTCCACAGAAAACCACATCCTTGAGTATCCTTCATCCTGACATGTTAGCTTACTATGTGCAGGGCCTGTTTGACGTGGAAGAAGGATCGTAACTGGAGATATGATAGGATACAAATATGACCATCAAGCATGCTAAATATCCATTTCCCCTCCACTTGCCATCCCGAAGTGGTACTGCGTACCATATGCTTCTTCAAAACATTTGAATCGGTTCCCAGAATCACTGGTTTAAGGCGCAGGATTGGATTTCATTTTGACATAGATCCATATTATTAATGTTGCTAATTTTATCCAATTCCTGTCTCCACTCCTCAAGATTACAAAAAGTGATGGAGTGTTTTGTGCTTAATCAGTCTTGCCTATTAAAAATTGATTTCTGGAAGGGGGCGTTGACAGGCAGCATCCTTGGAAGAATGTCACAATTAAATGGGTAAAGGGAGGGGCTGGTTTCCTTCTGTTGTCCTGAAGATTACTTAGCATATCCGTTTGCAAAGCGTTTCCTAAAATTTCCACACATTGATAACAACAACAACCCCCCCCCCCAAAAAGTAGGTCACTCTGAAGGTCTTGATTTTCAATGAGGAACATCTTGGCATAATACATGATGACTGTAATTATATAGCGGGCTGACAGAACTTCAGAACAATTCATACCGTAAACCACAAAAGAGACTATTTGACTTTCATCTTAAAGTGCTATATTGAACACATAATAATCATGCCTGTGTGAGGCCTTCCCTTCTGTCTTCTCCGTGTCTCGCGCTCCTTGCTGCGATTGATTCAATCTGAGGACTGGTCCCCGTGAACAATTCAGAGCACTGAACATGTGAATTCACTTTATTCACCCCACCCATCCTCCAAGGAGCTGGGTAGGAGACATTTCCATGGTTCATGGCTGAACAATTGTTTGGCATTGCATGGCTGGGGACCCCATGGTCTTCCAGATGCCGTTGGACTGCAGTTCCCATGAGGCCCAGCCAGCATGGCCAGCGGTAATGGATGATGGGAGTTGGAGTCTGATGCCATCTTGAGGGACAGGGGGTGTCGCACGTTCCCTGCTTCTGTTGTATTTGGCTTATTTAAACTGAACCTAATTTGAATATGTTTGTCAATGGTATCATGTGTTTGCTATTCATGTTGGCTATGATCTTGAAAGTCCACTTGGAAATATCTGAAATACATAAATAAATTTGAATTTAAAGGGATGTCAGAGCCTCTATGTTAGCTTCCCAGCAAGTGGGTTGATGTTGCTTAATAGGAGGAAGCATTAGGAGTAAGATGGAGGTAAGGGTGACATGACTACTCTGTTCTTCTCTTAAGCTAAAATGCAATCATTAGGACAGGTGGGAATGTAGAAAGCTTTAGCCAGAGACCTGGTGAAGCTGAGCCTGGCCAATGCAGGCTTCATGCAGTGATTAAATTGTGGTAAATTTTAATATTTATAGTCCTTGCATCCTTTACCTGTCTTTCAATACAGTCTTTTCACCCACGTTTTTGTCCCTTGTAATCACTGTCTCCTGATTTCCCCATGTATGCACCTTTTTCCTGATATTCTCCCTTTCCCAACGTTCATTTATGTATAGATGAACATTGGTTTTGCTTTTATATTATTTGTGGCTCATGCTTACATCTTTCACAGACTAAAATGCATTCACTGGTCTTCTGCTAATGTATTTAAAGGAAATACCTTCAAATGGATTTGAACCACTGAGATCCTGTTTGGTCACCACCCTCTCAGGCAAATTAAGGCCCTTCCCTTCAACATGTACATACATTTGTACACACACAGGTTTCCATCTGGCTTATACTGACCCTGTGAGGCATTATATGGTGGGTGTGTTCTCAGGGTGTTTTTCATCATATAGAAAATCTAATGCCACAATAAATTTAGCCAGGTTCTGGAAACTGGAATCTCACAGATATTCCTGCATCAAATTGTTTGGGCATTGAAGGTACATCCGATCTACAAGAGACCTCTCCTCTTATTCCATGATTACTAACCTTCCCCATGAGTCCATTTGTATTTTATATTTAACAATGCTTTCCACCAATTTCCCCAGATCCCTTTTTAAAAATTGATGTTACATTGGCTACTTTCCAGTCCTCAGCAACAGAGGCTGATCTTAGGGACAAACTACATATTTTTGTCAGAAGATCAGCAGTTTCACATTTGAGTTCTTTTGGAACTCTCGGGTGGATGCCATCCAGACCTGGTGATTTGCCCATTTTTATATTTGTCTACGAGGCCTAGAACTTTGTCTTTCCTCACTCTCTGGCTCAGCTCCTCAGATTCTCTTCCTGCAAAAGTTAATTCAGACATGGAGATCTGTCCTATGTCTTCCACGGTGAAGACAGAAGTTCTCCAATGAATTTCCTGTTGTTGTTTTTTTTTTAAAAAAAGTGCTGATTAAGCCTGACCAAAATATTCCATATAACAAAATATTCCATATAACCTTGCATGCAGCAGGTTCCATGCTCAATCACTTGACACCTCCAGTTTAGAACATCCCAGGTCTGAGATCTGGGAAGGACCTTAAAAACCACTGTAGACAATTCCAAACTAAACAGACCAGAGTTCTGACTCAATGCAAGCCAGCTTCCCATGCTTTCTGTACAGCCACACTGCCTTGCATCAGATCTCTGGCCAGCTTGAAATAGAGCTGTCCGAAAGCTTTATCTCCGAAGGCAGCCTCCTCTTGTAAATCCAAGAAGGATGGAAATATCTATATTCTTCAGAAGATTATGGTACATTCTATGAAATGTTTTGCACTTTGCCAAATGACTTGCACTTCTTCACCTGTTTTCCCCAGGAGGTCAATTTACATGGCCAGACCATCATTCATTGTTTACCTAAAAGCTTGTGTGGCTCTTAGTGCTCTCAGATACATCCACTGTCATAGCAACAAGGTTGCTTCTTCCTTCCTTAATGCACATTTCTTTCTTTTTTCCCCTTCTCCCCCATCCCCCACCCCCTTTTTAATGTGTCTATAGTTGCTAAGTGAAGCTTGGAAATCAGACAATGCAGTCAGCGTTTTCCACAAAATCTTTCAGTGGAGGAGTGAAAAGCTCCTCCACTTATCACCTCATATCTATCCATGACCACACAGTAAATAAGTATTATTGTGCCATTTTCCACATAGGTAAATGGCAGCTTCTGGACTAGCTGGCCTTGGGCATTTTACAACTTCTACACCTCCCTGTTCCTCTGAAGAAACAACTGTGAAAGGTGCTATAAAAGGTTGAGTGGCAATAATATCCTAGTGTACAGCTGAGTGGTTTAATGCTTTCTAAGATCTCAACAACTCTTGTAAAATCTTTTGGGAAAGGAAGTACACCTAATAACAGAAAGAAAGAACTTTCTCTCTCTCTCTCTCTTTCTTTCTTTCTTCTTTTCCAGATACATCCTGTCATGAAAACAGTAATCCCATTTTGTAATTTGTCTCCTTTCTGGTACCTTTCGAGGCAGAACTAGACATTATCTCATCAAACACGTGATTCCAACCTGCTCTAGCTGAGGGAAAAAGGAGGGTGGGGACATGGGAGCAATTTCTCTATATTATAGTCCAGATCAGAGTGAGCAACCATTTTTTCACTCAAGGGCCTCATTTCCACTGGGGTAAGCTGGGGGAGGGGAGCTGTATACAAATGGTAAACAGGGGCAGCATTATTTCCTTTTCTCAATGTCTCTCTTTCTACCACGCCATTTCTCTCTCCCCCTCCCTTTTTCTCTCTTTCGGCCACCCCATTCTCTCTCTCTCTCTCTCTCTCTCCCATCCCATTCTCCCTTTCCCATTCTCTTTCCCATTTCTCTCCCTATCTTTCTCCATGCTCAGTGGTCATCTGGTGGGTTGCTTTTGCGAGAGGTGAACAGAGAGATTTCAAAGTTAGACTGAGCATCACATGAAACTAGGCTTAAGGGCTGTGTTTGGCCCTAGAGATGTAGGTTGTTTACCCCTGGTCCAAATGTTTGGTTTTTGCTCATTTAACTATGAGATTGACATGACACACTTTTGGATGCCTTCTTAACCTCCCTCCCCTTCCCCTTTGACACAGCTCTGATCATTTAAACCAGGCATGGCCAAACTTGGCTCTCCAGCCATTTTGGGACTACAACTCCCATCATCCCTAGCCAACAGGACCAGTGGTCAGGGATGATGGGAATTGTAGTCCCAAAACAGCTGGCGGACCAAGTTTGGCCATGCCTGTCAGCTAAGGGGAATGTAAGTTGAGATGTTAATGTGCATAACAACTGGCCATTGCGCATTCACTGGGCCTCGTGGAGAATGTGCAAATCATTCTTCTTTGAAGAGGATATTGTGCACATTTCCCAGTCCATAAGATTCAACAGGCCTTGGGAAATGTGCCTATTTCAACTGAATTTTGTACATTCTCCGGGCATTATGCACAATCCCCAGCAGGTACTGGGAAATGTGCATGTATCAACTGAATTTTGTTCATTCTCTGGGTGTTATGCATAATCCTCAACAGCTCTGGGGGCTGTGCATGTAACACATTTTCCTAAGCTTAATAGCAGCATTGAACATGGAAATTACCACCAAAATTGTGGAACTGGGGGAGGGAATGTTTAAAACTTGCCCCTCCTTGCAATCTTTGTGCTGCTCAGCTAAGTGGTGAAATGGTGGCTGAACTACAGGGAAAAAAGTTGATATTTTCCTGGAGCCTGTTTTTTCCCTGATGCTTGGCTGATGAGTGGGAGGGTATGTTTGGGGCCGTATAAGAAGAGGTAGTGGGTCAGAAGTAGCCCAGGTAGTGCAATAGAGAATCACATTTCTTAGAGATTCTGCATACTGGCTAGAGAATATGCATACTGCTTGAAGAATGTACAAAATACAATCAAGATATGTACATTCCCCAAGGATTGATGGAGATTGTGCATCATGGCTGGCGGCTCTACAAAATTCAGTCAATAGCTACACATTTCCCAAGACCTGTTGGAGATTATGTATATTGACCAGGAAATGCACACAATTTCCTCTTTGTTGGAGGTTTACATGCACATTCTCTGCCTGGTGAATGTGTACAATAGCCGGTCACTATGCAGATTCACTGTTCAAGTCACATCCCCTTAACACATATAAATATCTGACTGTGAAATCATTCTCAGCTATGTAATGTACATCACAACATGGACCATTTTGTCTTTCTCTCTATTTTTTCCATCATTCATAATACTTAAGGCCGGCATAAATGTTAGTCATAAACCAACTAAGGATTATCATGAACAAACCAAATGAGAAAAATGAAGAATAAATTGAACCAGGAAAAACTCATTTATTAGACGATGAGGTTGCTCTCAAAAGCTGGAAATGTTTCATTACTACCAGATGCTAGGCACACATCCAGCAGGTCACCACCAGAGTGAATACAGCTACTGAAAGTATAAATATTATCCATCTGGAAGTCAAATTCAGTCACAAGAAATAGACAGTGTGTACAGGAATGTTTTTGGCAAAGCGGAAAGGTGGGATTAAAATATTTGAAATAGAATATCATACTCAGAATGCAGTGACTTGATAAATGTTTCCCTGAAAGAGAAAAAGTATTTCAACCACTAATATTATTCATTATAGCTGTTTTTCAGCCTCCAGGTCTCAGAGATAGTGGCCGCAGGCACACTATATTTTTATAGCGCCATCATACCACTTTAGCAGTCATAGCCTCCCCAGAAGGACTCCTGGGAACTATAGTTTGTTGAATCACCAGGCGAAATGAATTGGTGGGGACACAAGATAGGCCTTCTTTTTTTGTGACACCTGATTATGGAATGCCCTCCTCCTGGAGGTACTACAGGTCCCATAATTGTTGACATTTTGGTGCTCAGTTAAAACCTGTCTTTCCAGGATTCTAGCCTGCAGCTGCAGTTTGTGTGTTGCTATTTTTATCTGTATTTAATTTATATTAATACCTGCTCTTTATTTTATTTAGACCATTGTTTTAAATGCTGCTTTAAATTATAATACTTGGGAATCAGCCCCACTGAGCACAGTGAAGCGTTGTTGTTGTTGTTGTTGTTTAGTCGTTTAGTCGTGTCCAACTCTTCGTGACCCCATGGACCAGAGCACGCCAGGCACTTCTGTCTTCCACTGCCTCCCGCAGTTTGGTCAGGCTCATGTTTGTAGCTTCAAGAACACTGTCCAACCATCTCATCCTCTGTCGTCCCCTTCTCCTTGTGCCCTCCATGTTTCCCAACATCAGGGTCTTTTCCAGGGAGTTTTCTCTTCTCGTGAGGTGGCCAAAGTATTGGAGTCTCAGCTTCAGGATCTGTCCTTCCAGTGAGCACTCAGGGCTGATTTCCTTCAGAATGGATAGGTTTGATCTTCTTGAAGTCCATGGGACTCTCAAGAGTCTCCTCCAGCACCATAATTCAAAAGCATCAATTCTTCGGCGATCAGCCTTCTTTATGGTCCAGCTCTCACTTCCATACATCACTACTCCTAACTAAAGCATGCTTAGGCTTGTACTGTTTGATTGCAGTAATGCCCACTCTGGAAGTAAGCCCTGTTGAACACAGAGGGACTTACTTATAGAAGTGGTTTGTTGCGTGGGGTGGAGCAGCAGTGCTTGCTTCCCAACAGATGGGCTGCTGTTGCTTACTAAGAAGGCCAAGGTGGGGAGAGTGGTCAGTGCAGTGCGAGTGCACCAGCAGAGCCAATCCAATGCCCAGTTTGTTTCCACCATGCCAACCTCCCCATCACCTCACCTCTCTCCCTCCTGGTATGCAATAGCAACTCATATGCCAGTGGCTCCACCCTACCCAGCTGTTTCTGCTTCCCTCTGAATAACCATAGCAGGCATGGAGAACCTGTGGCCCTCCGTAGGTTGTTGGATTCCAGCTCCCATTAGCCAGCATTGCCAATAGTCAAGTATCTTAGGAGTTGTAGTACAACACCTGTAGTACAACTCCCTGATGTATAGGATTCCACAGTGATTTAAGAATGTTTGCACAAGCAGCAGTTTGGCTCATTTCAGCATCCTTGCTTCCTAGTAAATGTGCTAAAGGATCTTAGCATTATTTTCCTCTGCTGCCTTACTCTGTGTTGGTTTGCAAGAGAAACTCTCCTGCTGCAGTATTTCTTTAAATACAGAACTAAGCATAGGCAAAGCAGATGCTCATTTTCCTTTCTTCTCACCACTGACCTCGAGTTGATCCTTGCTTGATGGATCAAATGCTAGCGTAAGACTGTGATAATGTTATTAAAAGGCCTCGGCATCCTCTTTCTATTGAGCTGGAAACCCAGCTATATTAATGCAAAGTAGGCTCAGGCACTAATCAGACATAAATTCCCCAAGATCACCCACTATTCACATAACCTTTATTTAAATCACTGGGTAATGCATGGCTGATCAATAACGCTATTCAATTATTTAAGAGTCACACGAGTACGGAAGTATTACTATCCCCAACTATCAAAGCCCAGGCTTGTCAACTAGGAGCTACCTCTATCATTTCCATTTAGTTAAGCTCCACTTTCAACTGTCTCTGTATTTCATCTGTTCATTTTTCCCCTGGAACGGTTTGCGGGAGTGAGATGAACTTACTTTCGCTGACAGAAGAGCCAACAGAACTGGAAAGGTCTTTGAGGGTTCTGAGCGTGTTGCTTTGGAAAGGAATACTGTAGAAAGCACATACAGTCTCAGATGTACATGAACCAGTTGTGGCTGGTTTATGTAGCTCACACTCACACCGTATTTTTAAAGCCATCTTATTCCACTTTCTGGGCGCTGTAGTTGGTTAAAGATGCATGGAATTGTATATCTGTGAGGTCAGCACCCTTAACAACCTAGAGTTCCCAAGATTCTTTGGGGAACCCATGGCTCATAAAGTGAGATGAGAGTGTATTAAATGTATAGGGTGTGTTAATATGTGATCTTGTGATCTTGAAGAGGGAAGTGCAGTCTGCATATGCTTACACTTTTCTTTATAATCAAAAGCTGAGGTGCTGGGTGTGTTTATTGCTTAAAGATTTCTGGACATGAATTTTTTCCCTGTCATCTGGCATTATGGGCAACATCTTGCACCCAATCCCATGTCAGCCCTGCTGTCATTGGGAAAGGATAGAAGTCCAAATGTTAAGCATAAAGAGTTGGCCTTCATTCTTATGGCAGCAGTGAGACAAATAGTTGCTTCCAGTGCTTTTTTTCTAAAAAAAAAATGTTTAGGGGTACTCTCATTTTGACTCAAGAAAACCATTTTATAGTTCAAATCAGGAAAAACAAATACAGTAAATGGACAAAAGTACAAAGATTCACAAAGTGTTTAGGGGTCTGCGTATCCCCAGAAAAAAGTACGGGGGGGGGGGAGTATGGTTGCTTCCATTTGGGGGGAAAACACCCTCTCCCACCATAGAAACTTGGACCCAATATATGTGGAATATAGCACTTAGGGAATGCTTAACTTGCCATTGGAGGATGATAAGAGGAATAACAAAGAAAGATGGGTTTGACTCCATATTGTCTCAATTTATATCATTTATTCATAATACTCATAATAGTCCCTTTTGTCACAGCAGCAACTGTAGAGAAATTATCCTATTGCTTTAGATTGAAATATACCCCATAGATGTGAGCTGAATCTGGAATGTAAAAGATTTTCCAAGTTCGATTTCATGCAATGTGGAAGATTGCATACAAAACTTAACATCTGTACATGTATTTGTCTTGGAAGACAATGCTTTGTGTTTGATAACTGGTTTTTGTTTTGTTTTTAATTCAATGTTTGTAAAGAAAAAAAACCTGAGCATTGCTATTCTAAACAAGTTACAGAACTCATTTCTAGCATTAGGTGCCTGTGAAAACATGCCTCTTTCCCCAGATCTTCATCCACTAAATAATCTATGGCCTGTTAAATGTGGTAGGGGACTGTTATCATGATTATTTTATTATTATACTATGTATTTTTTTATGCTACATAAATTATTTTCTTAATGTTCTGCATCACCCTGGGATCTTTGGATAAAGGGTAGTATACAAATTGTAGTAGTAGTAGTAGTAATAATATACATAATTACATACATACATACATACTCGTGCTAGGCAAAAGTATTCACCTTGTACTTTTCATTGATTTCAGAAGGAGACTAAAGGGCAAATGGGAAATGGCATTATTTAGGGGAGAGGGAAAAATCTGTTAATTTTCAGTCTATCATTTAAGAGGTAGTAGCAGAACATATAGTAACAAACAGACAAAGGAATACAATCTAGGATGCCAAAATACAAAAGTTACATTTATTGTGAAGACATTTAACACATTTTGGTTTGCATGACTAATATATACTGACCAGCTGCTTTTCCCCCTCTAGGCTCTTGTTTCTGTGACACCTGTTGTTATTGTTTGTTTGTTTGTTTGTTGTTGCTGCTGCTTTGATTCTGTATCCCACTAATGTCCCAGTACTGAAGTCAGACCTGTTTAGATTGCTGATAGCTTTAATTACATGGCTAAAGGACTCCGTGTAGAACTAAGTGATCTGAATTAATTATGGTGCCACTAAATTATGTAACGCGTGTGTAAAGGTCTGTTTGGAATTTTCCTTCCTTTATATTCTAGCAAAATGATTGGGGTTTTCTGGAGCACATTTCCCTCCTTTCTCCAGCGCTTTCCACTGAACCAATTTTGCAAGGCGTGGGAAGCGTATGATTTATGAGTTCATTTATCCAAAGCAAGGTATTGAAAAAAAGATAAAGGGGGGGAAAGTGGACCTGCGTTTGCTGCAACCTGGTAAATGCAGGCAGACCAATTTCCTTTCCATTCTATTGCTGCTAATACTTAGGTTAAGCATTGACAATGTGCTTGAGATACGAAATGTGAATTGTAATTATACTACAGGCTTATGACCAATGATGGACCATGTATTTCAGAGCTGGCATCAGATTTCAGGGGTCCCTTGGCGTGGTCCAGTCAATGCCCCCCTCCTATCACTGCTACACCCCCTGCCACCCATCATCCTCTCTACAGTAGCACAGATTCTGCCCTCTTTTCCCACTCCTGCCCATTGCTGTGCCTCTCCCCCTACTGCCTCTCCTCTTTTGTTTTAAACAATTCTACGAATCTATGAATAAATTCATAAATGATGATAATAAAAATTAAAATCTCCTTCTGTTATGTAGTTTTCAGGGGAGGTTCTTGTGTGCTGTTCTTATTGGCTGCTATGAGCTTTCCTGGCTGGGGTGCGTGTGTTAAACCGAACAGCAACATTGGGAGGAAAACCTTTTTCAATCAATAAATTGAGGGACGTTTTGCACACCAGTGTGGCTGCTTTTAGTACACAGGCACCATTGCCGGGTTGTGGCACTGATGGGTTATGAAAGCACTATGGCATAGTTGTGTTGAACCACGGCCTGGGCACTGGCTCAACAGTCGTCTAATAAACCGAGCCATAGAAGTAGCTGAACATGATGTGCTCAAGGTCAGTGACCGAGAAAGTGCCAAGGCCCGTGCAAATCTCTCTTTTACTGCCCAATCTGCTTTGGTTCACCTTTCTTTGCAGTAAGCAATACAGCAGTGATAGCTAAATTGATAGACCGGTGAAAACAGGGAGACATTAAATTATGTTTTCCTCTTCAGAGACCTGTCAGGATTTAAAAAATAAATAAATCACTGTTTATCAGTCTCAGTTTCGGTTCTTATTTCTGAGAGTTCAGACTGTCGCTGCTCTGCCTGTTTGTTGCCTGGTTGCTGTTAGTAGCATTTCACAGGGCTGGGCCTAAACAGCTTTCCCTCATTAGGTATATAAGAACGATCAATCGCCATTAGCAGCCCTTCCTCTAGCCTAACCGCTGCCATATACTGACGTCTGAAAACCCTGACAGCATTCGCTTTCATTACCTCAAGTGACATTTGTGACATAATGGTTCCCACTTAAATGCAAAAGAAAATGCAGGGTGAGGTTGGGATTCCACGCAGAGAGCTAAGCGGGAGGAAATATACCTCAGCACTCAGGGGAATATTAACACGGCATTATGCGCTGAGTCACCAAATACCTTTGCCTAATGAGCTTCTGAACTGGAGCACCATATGGTACGGGCGTCAGTGCTTTGCAGATGCCAATCATACTACCGCGGTTTATAGCACCGTATTTTTCGCTCCATAAGACGTACCTGACCATAAGATGCACCTAGTTTTTAGAGGTGGAAAACAAGAAAAAATCCATCCAATAAACATTAGATGATCACCAGGGCTAGCTGGCTAAATTAGTCCTATTTGGGCCAGTGAGGAGACTAGGGGAGAATTAGCTGTGGGATCCCAGAGCAGGTAAACTTCATAAAAAGGGGAGAGAGAGGGAAGAAAGGGGAATAAAAGATCAGGCTAAGTTCAAATTGAAAGCCAGGCGGAATAGCTCTGTCTTACAGGCCCTGCGGAAGGAAGTTAAATCCTGCAGGGCCCTGGTCTCATGGGACAGAGCATTCCACCAGGTCAGAGCCATCACCGAGAAGGCCCTGGCCCTGGTGGAGGATAATAGCTGTGCATCTGGCTGGTGCCAGAGACAGGAGGGGTGGCCATGCGTCCTACTTTAAAGAGGGCTTGCTTGAAAGTCCCAGTTTAAAGATGGAGAACCTTAAAAGTCAGAGGGGTCTTGAAGTTGCCCATCAGCAGTGTGATTGGCACACAGAGGTTATTTGGTCACAGTCTTCCCCACCATAGTGGGCAGGAAGTAAGTGCTTTTATTTCAACTATAGTGGTTATTTCCAAATTGGCATCTGTACATATAAATTGGCATATGGAAGTTTAATGCAAATTTGCCTCCCCTTTTTTTTCATGATGAACTTCCTTTTCCTTTTGGTGATGCGCAAATGGCCACCCTAGAGGCAGAGCATTTTCAGTATGGCCCCATCCATACCTTTGGAATTCCAGAGAGAGAAAGGGGAAGGGAGAGAAAGAGAGAGAAGGGGACTCCCAAAAGGATGGAGTCGTGCTGAAAAGGCCCTGTCTCTGTGGTAGCCCTTGGCTGATCGCTCCTGAATCTTGCAAACTTTCTTGTGTCAGTCTGCAATTTACTGAGGTGTTGCATACTAGGTTTTTAACTGCTGCCAATTTTAGTTTGGGGTAGGATTGTGGATACATATTTAAATTATTTTATGTTGTTTTCAGTTAATTATGCCCGGAAAGGCATATTGCAAACCTTTTAATAAATAATAAACGAACAAAAAAAATACGTTCCTCAAAGGAAATTGCTATATTTTCTGTTCCATATGTGCATGTCTTTGTTTTAGCTTATGAATGTTACAGAATGGAGACTGATCTGTCTCCCAGATTCATTCCTTCCTTCCAATTTCCTTTAGTGCTCACAAGTCATTAGGGGGAAAGAACAGCAGCATTTGTAAAGCTGCTAGCTGTTAAATGGCCCTCCCTTAAATGATAATTAGCTGAATTTAATAATGAATTAAATGTCATTATCTGGGTTGGGTTTTCTAATGCTTTAAAAAAAATAATGCAGTAATTGTTCCTGAAAAGAATGACTGGGCATTGCCCAGCCTTTCTAATTATATTAAATTGCTAAGACCCATATATAATGAATTACCTTAAATCCTATTTATGGATTGCTGGGATGAGGGGTAGAAAAAGCCCTTTTGGGCTGGACTCCACATGCTATTTTCCTGCCAACCTAGCAGTTCGAAAGCACGTCAAAGTGCAAGTAGATAAATAGGTACCGCTTCGGTGGGAAGGTAAACGGCGTTTCTGTGCGCTGCTCTGGTTCGCCAGAAGCGGCTTAGTCACGCTGGC